GTATGCGAACGGATAGAAACGAAGTCGCTGAGGTTTCGATGCCATCTTGAAAACAACATACACCGACATAAAGTACGAACGAGCAAAGTGCATCGAGAAATTGCGATTAAAAAAAACAATAAGGTTATGTATTCTTAAGAAAAGGAAACAGATTCCATCATAGCATGAGTCACTTTCTCTAAAAGTACGCATTTCGGATTTAATGAAATTATGGCTTAAAAATTCAATACACTAAGTTAGAAGTATGCATGAAGGTGCTCACTGAATGGGGCTATTCATGCTCTATGGAAGTATCAACGATGGAAGAGTAGGACGGTCGGCGAAAGATAGCACTTCCAAGCAGCAAAACTTAGCTCCGAAAATTCCTTCTTTTTTGAGAAACAACCAGATGAGGATTATATAAAACTCACTTTGTTGAAACAACAGAAGTCGGTGCAAGAATTAAGAAATGAAAAACTTTAAGAATCACAGAGCGGATCACATTACTGACATGGAACCATACTCGTAAAGAGGAGTGACAGTCATTCTTAACTGAAAAGAAAGTCTTACTTCAACGTTTTCTTCTTCAATGAAATCACTAGTTCCACCACTTCCTCTATTACAATTGTAATAGCTTCAATAAACAAAACGAATTAAAATCTGACAGATTTAACTTAAACGAGAGAAAAATAAAAACTCTAAAAAGGATAAGGCTTTCGGCGTTGATCAATCCCTGAGAGATGCGCCATGCATTCGGCTTCACTAAGCATCGTTGGAGGTGATTGAATGCATATCTGGCCTTTGCAATGACTCGCGGTGGCCTACCGATGTATCGAGCCAGTGCTGCTATCCTCCCAGACAAGTCTGGTACCAATTTGCAAACCTCTGAGGAATGGAGGGCTTGGTGGGCCAAGGCCGCGGGAATCGATCCCATGTGTATTACAGGCCGCGTCCAACCACTGCGCTACATGCACGCACCCTATGGGTTATGGTATACGGAAAAATAATTGACGAAAAACATGGTGTGAAAGCAAGCGAATTAGGAGGGTATGTAACGTAGTTTTAGGGTATGAGATAAGTTCACATTACCACAGCGCCGACTCAGGTTCCTATGTCATCTTTTTCAAAGCCTTTCTTGCCAGTAATTCGTTTAACACGTTAACGACAGAGTGGGTTCCGCGATAACAACCGCATAACTCGAACAGTTAAAAGGTTCAGAATATTTGAGCTTAAAGAGGAGGTTGTACTCGGTCGTCTCAAGGATATATGCAGTTTCTCCATAATAGCTTACCTCCACAGAGACTAATCTCTAGCGCACAGAGAATAGCTCCTATCTCTCTCCCCATCCTCATACAAATAAGTGCTCTGCCTGCACTGAGCTGCTCAAACATCTGTCTTCTGTTTGTGAAAAAAAATGTAGTCTCTATCTAACCAACTCTCTGCACAAGTTCCATAACGGCCACTTTTTATCGACTGATAGCTCTTCTTTACCCATAATTCCATAAGCCTCAGATGGTACATAAAGGCAGTTATCATGACGGAAAAAGGCGTGCTCTCACTACACAATGTACGCTCATATTCCTCCAGTACTTCAAGTACTGTGGCGAAATCTGACAACCATTCTTCCATGCGGCTGTGGTTAGTTTTACTATGTTGTTATTGTTCTTTCATTCACATGACGGTCTACTTTTCTAAATTTGAGATCCACACAGTGTAAACATGGAATTACCCTCGCATCCACATTCCACTAAGCTCTGTAAATTTTCCTTATTGTTCGCCACTTAGTTGAGGATATTGTCTTCCTCATGAATTTCGGTGAATATTGCTAGTGTCGATTCTCACTGGAATCATGGAACACCCGTGCTAGGGCTTTCCCAGGTCTTTATTACGGGTAGAGAGAGTGTCCCTTCACCCGTAATAAAGACATGGGAAAGCCCTAGCACCTGATCCCAGACAAATTTGTTACCAATGACGGAGAAATGGTGAGCTTGGCTGACCCGACCCAGGTCGAACCGGGGACCGTGCTATTAGACTGCATCACTATTAGTTCTTTACCAGCGCCATTAAATGAAACTAATATCTAAAATAAATTTTACATTTCTCTCTGTACTCTTTTACTGTTAAAACACTTATTAAACGCTTAAGAAAATGTTTGCAAAAAAAAACACCATACAGTTGAAGAACTTGTTGCAGTTGTCACAATTAGTTCCAGTGAATCAGAGAAGCACACAGTTAACCAATAACGTAGGAGGAAATGCGACGCATAAAATTTTGTATCCAACACTGGTTTAGTAGACAATTTGAAAAGTCTCCACTTTTGTAGATAAATCCTGACAAAATCTTTGAAACGTTGAACAAAAGGAAAATAAGAGGTGTTTTCATTACTTCTATCACTCTTATAGACGACCCACCCAACGGTTTACCGCCTCATCATGGCTGGGAGGTGTTTTCCTGGGTGTAGGGCTGCGATGTACAGCGGGGGATTCATCACCCCGCCAGGATCTCCTAAGTTGAGGAGACCGGCGTTTCCATCAGGTAGCCCAGCTAGGAGTAAACGAAATTCAGCATACATCACTGTCCTGGTATCAAACTGTTCGCATGGTGGCAAATCTCCCTCTAATCCACAAGGGCGGCGCCCGTGGTGATAACGACCTGCGGCATAGTTTGACCAAGCTGTCCTCGGGACTACAGGAAACCACGGTGGCTAAACAAGCAAAACTACGGAGATTTACGCTGAGGCCCGCAGAACCAGTGAAGACGGGCCATCCAAGTATCCAAGCAAGTATCCTGTAAACGACTGTGCCAACACTATTCAAAATTGTGTCATTTGTGTTCTGAAGAATGAATTCACGCACTTGTAACAAAAAACGGATTCGAACAACGGAATTTAGGGAGAGACGCGATTTCAGTAACAGAATTCGAGGACCCAGTTTAAAATACCATGATTTTTCACTTCCGTTGTTTGCATAACATTAAATCGACGATAGAAAAATATGCATGCGTATACAGAATAATCCGTATAGAAAATGGAGAACATTCTCTATCTCGTTATCAGCCTTTTGTCCCACCGTCTGTGAACTTCTTCCTCGCAGCATGTACATGCTTCACAGCTAGAGAGTCCTTTGTGATGTCTTTGTATGTAAAGCACCTGCAAACCTGCAAAAACTAATGATTGAAAAGAGCTCTGCAACCTCTTTGCATGTTCACATTTCTTGTAACTGCAAGAACACTGCTTGAAATCAGTCACGACCCACTACTGTACGCTCTGCTCACTCCAGATGTTACATCAGAATTGGCATCTGTTTGCAAAATCGTCCGTGCTCTCCAATTTGATTCTATCCGCTTACTCTTCTTGGTTAACACCAACTCGACTGACCTCAACTGAAGCATTCATAGTTGCGCATCATGGAAGTAATGAAGAGATTCATTAATCTTCATGTAACCGTTGCATATTGTTAAGCTCGTTATATTGTTGTTATTTATATACACAGGTATAGGTGGTCAAGTTCAGGTACATCTACCTAAGCCTGAGATGGGTACATAAATCAATAGGTCCGGATCGCAGTGACAGGAAAGAATAAGCAACACCAAATAGCAACTAGCAACACCTGTCTTACCAAGTTGTCGTTTCCCCACAAGCACTCATTCACTACACGAGCCCTTCGCCATTTGGTCCATTGACACTTAACTGCCCTTAGTGGGAGCCACCACCCTAACATCAGACGGGTAAAAACCAACAGTAATAAGAGCGTGTAAAATTTAACAAAAATTTATTGAACGAAAGTTCTCATTGGTCCAAAAATGACAAGTCATAAAAATGATGGCCTTCATAGAGATGGCGATAATAGTTTGATAAGTGAAAAAGGAGCCGAACAGAACTATTTGTGAAGGACTGCAGCATAGAAACTTCATCAATAAATCGATAAGATCAATCATACTCTCAGTACACCGAGTTCACGAACAAAAAGCAGCAAAAGAGAATACAGTGTAGTCAATAGAATGAGTTTTTAAAATAGAATACTAAAAATGTAATCGGCAAGACTGATGGTGGATTAGTCTGTCAGCCAAGAGCACCTCCACACAACGTGTGACTATGGGACTAGGGAAACCGACCAATCGATACGGGAGGAGACCATCAGTCCACTCAGTGTCACAGTGGTGTGGGAGTGGAGGATGTCACGTTGTGCGCCACAAGGGAATCCCAACTCCCAAGTCCCAAGCACGGACTTCTCTACCGGCTGATCTACCCACCACCACCGTTCTGAAGTCGATAAAAAGTGATGACCATGGACGTGTTAGCTAATTTCCCGGCTACTTTATAATGGAAACACCTTGTAATTTTTCTTGTTAGTAACATCGATACCACCATGACGTTTTTTGTTCATACGAAATAGGATTTTCGAAAAGTTGGATAACAGTTACTTTTTGGAGATTTCCATCTATGCGATTTATTATCGACACTGTCGTTTTTTTTCGCAGTGCGAAGCAGCGAAACAAGCAACAATCCATGACCGACAGCGCTGTGTTAAATTTCGAAATTGCACTGTTCCCATTATAAATATACATGTTTATACATATGCATGTGTGTATGTATATATATATATATATATATATATATATGTATATAAATATCCACATATGTGTGTACATGTGTGCATCGGAGCTGAACGATTGTCATTAATAACCACGGTACGGTCTGCTTACAACGACCTCATGGTCTCTTCGTGGTCTCCTGATGGCCGTTTTCACATTGATTGGTTAAGGTTATGGTCATTTAGTGTTGGCAGATCGTGCTGCAGTAGTGCGCGTCCCTTTAAGTATTCTAGCGCTGCATTCGTGACCAGGATTTCATTGTTAGCTAGGACTTGAGCAGGAGCGCTATTTTCGATTAGAGATCCTATCGATGTTTAGTTCCGCATTGGCTTTTTCTGAACGTCTTCGTGTTGTTGATCGGTCTGTCTGTTTGAATCAATCTAACCTTATCAAATGCTAGTTGGGTTTAGTACCACTCTACCAGTGGAATGAAGCAAGTTCAACTGGAGAAAGGAACTAAAGGTACGATACTTACCTCACGTTTCTACCACTTTTTATACATCTTTCCTCATCTTTTTCTTTTTTTTTCATATACTGGTTGTTCTTTATCATTTGCATCTGTTGAGTAGGTTTTTCCATTCAGTTTCTCACTTTTAAATCCACAAAGTTTTGTGCTAAATAGAATTCCTTTAGAGTCTGGCACGGTATCGATGAGAGCATCTTTGTCTTGCAACTCAGGTTTGTCGCTCAAACTAGCAGTTTTTTTTAGTCCTTTTGTAACGTTATTTGCCAAATTCAAGTATTCGATATAGTATAGTTCCTTACGTTCCATTATGTAGTAATCCAGAGTCAGAAGGTGATTTCACAGAAGAGAACGTTGGTCTAGTCAGTAAGACGAAGAAGAAAGGAAGGAATGTGAGTCTATTATTATGTCTATTACCACATTATTACTAGAGTCAAATCATTGTCCCATTCTTGGTGTTTTTGCTTCAGATTATTCTTGTACTTTGTTCATGTGAATACCATGTTAGACTTGTTTTCAACAATATTGTAATAGTATTTCAAAACCGACTTTCCTCTAACCTCAGTATGACTAGTCAGTGTGTATTCTTTCTTTGATAAGCCTACACGAGGTCGATATACAATCTCTGTTGGCTAACATTTCAACGGTTTCGTCTTTATCAGAGCTAATGATCCAAGTCGATGGTCAGATGAAGACGAAACCGTCGAAACGCTGGTCGAATAAAGATTCTATATCAAGTTCGTGTAAGCTCGTCAAAGAAATAATACATATTCTAATAGTTTTTACTGCAAAACATAAGATAAAACGTGTTCATATTAAACAGTTTGACAATTAAACGATTAATCGTCGAGTGATTCGAGCAAGGGCCAGTAGATTCTGTGTTCATTTTGTGGAGCGGTAGAGCTTAGCACTACTCTCTGCTTGGTAGCAGAATATACAAAGGTATAAAACTTAGAATAAGTCGTTAATTTTCAATATTTGTTGCTGAACGTTAGGCACGGGTAGATTTGGTCGGCCTTGGAGGTGATCAGGTACTAGTAGTTTCTGTGTACTTCCCATTCTTTTGGTTGCACATTTCTATTTTTGATGCGAGTCCAACACAGGTGTTACGGAATAATTGTCAACTGAATGCATCCACACCATACACTATTAACTGTAAATTTATGTTTTAATTAGCATTTACATCTAGGGTACTGTTGTCCAAAGTCTAATGGATGACATTTAAACGTTTTTTTGAAGCCGTACATATTCGTTGGGTACGAATTCGAAAATTAGTAGAAAATTTAATAGTATCCTGTAGTGGTAGTGTTGAACAATCAATAATATTACTTTGGTAACTTTAACTTATTATTTACTCCCTACTCTTTTTTTTAATGGCAGGCTATATTGCGAAATATAACTTCAAGGATGCTGAGTTATTTGCAAAACTCCGGGCTGCAGGTGTATGCCATTAAAAAAAGCGTAGGCAGTAAATAATAAGTTGAAATTGTGATTATAACTATAACCTCAGCTTAACTGTGTTCGTTGCCCATTTGGGCCCTCCAGATCAATCCCGCTGATAGGTGATTGTTGTGGCAAAGATCATCAGAACTAGCTGAGAGACAGGCGAAACGAAGGACCTGCATGGTGTGATGGTGAACGCGTTACTCCCCGGAAAGGATAATAGCGCGTTCGTTCCCCATCGCATACACCTGCGGTCCGGAGTTTTGCAAATATCTCACCATCATTGAAATTGCTTGGATACTTGGATGGCCCATCTTCACTGTTTGTGCGGGCCCCAGCATAATTTCCATTTTCCGACTAGTTTAATATTAGGACGATGACGAATCCTGGTATAGCTTCACTGTTAGCTGGGCTTCTTTATCGAAATACCGGGTTTCTTCTCAGCTTGGGAGGCCCTGCTGTTGGGATGAATCCCCCCGCTGCACATCGCAACCCGACACCCTGGAGCACCTTTCAGCCACGATGAGGCGGTAAACCATTGGGGAATTCAATAATTTTAGTTCTGAAATACGTGTTATTAGGCTGAGCGAGATCATCGGTTTGTTAACTTGCTAACTTAACTTACTCCTGTACAATAACAACTAAAAGCGAGACATTTTTGAACCACGTGTTTCACATATAATGCTGAGATATTTGCAAAACTCTGGACCGCAGGTGTATGCGGTGGGGAACGAACGCGCGCTATTGTTCTTACCGGAGAGTAGCGCACTTCACCACCACAGCATCCGGGTCCTTCGTTTTACCTGTCTCTTAGCTTGATAGCAACATACCCTGCCATTAAAAAGAAAAGGGCAGTAAATAAAATGGTTAAGACCACGTGTTTTAATTGAAATATATGTAGAGTTGTAACGAATTCAGTATATGGGGCATAAGTAGTCTTTTGCGCTGCTCTTTGTCGTCATTCGAGTTAGATCGCCTGGGATTTCATTCTTTCACTGCTCCATATTTGCTTATTTTAATTCTATATGTTTTGAGATGAAGTAACTTTATTAGCTAGTCTAGAGTCTATTACAAGTACTTATTTTGCAGTTGGAACGAACTCCTTTGCTACACCGACCGATGTCAATAGCCGATTCGGCAACTGTGGATTTTGTACGTCGACTGGAACGTGAAAGTGAAGAGCATCGCTTTTCCAGTGATGACGATGAGACAAATGCTGGTAGATCATCTGTTGAATTTAGTTTTAAATTATTCCTCTTTCACTTCATTTTTGTCTCATGTTCGATATCATCTTATTAAAGCTTATAAGTTTATCGTTTTGGGCGATTTTAATTTAAAACCTATGTTGCCATAAAATCCAGTTACTCATTTTCTCAGTGAGAAGGAGATTCTACTGGTTATTTGCTTTTGAACATCGATGAACGTCACGGCATTCATCGTTGTTCAAAAGCAAATAAAATCTTCGAGCTTGATAAGGCTACAAATAGCCGGACATTTCTCGTTGAAAAGGCGTGTCAAGGCGGGTGTCTATCATAAGGTCTTCTGCTGCAAAGTGAAGAAGAATCTTGCAGATGTAAAGGAGTATAGGGACAGTTTACATAGTCAGTTGTCATCATGGACTCACATTCTGTGAAAGGGGAGTGATGTGATTGTGTTATATATTGACTCGTCTAAATATACACATACAAAGATAAAATAAAGAATGAAGCTATCGGCGTTGATCAATCTCTGAGAAATGCGCCATGCATTCAACTTCGTTAAGCATCATTGGAGGTGATTGAATACATATCTGGCCTTTACAACGATTCGTGGTTGCCTACCGATGTATCGAGCCAATGCTGCTGTCCTCCTAGACAAGTTTGTTAACAGTTTGCCACCTCGAAGGGATGGAAGGCTTGGTGAGCCTTGGGCGTGGGGATCGATCTTAGGTGTATTGCAGGGCGCCTGGGACCACTACGCCACAAGCGCTACACACATGGTTACCATCAGTAAATGGTTTCTCATTTCACACATCGTATTATCTTTTTACTATCAGTTATAACGGGAAGATTCACTCTTAGATACGAAAGTGATTATTTTTGTTCAACAATGTTTTTTTTCTGCATTGTTCAGTATCATTTTTTTTGCACGATCAAAGCATTGTGCAGGTGGTGAGCAGTATGGCAGTACAGCGGGTGCTGACTTTAAAGCGGTATTGGATGAAGCAATTCGAGCCATACACAACGGTATTTTTCCAGAACGAATCATGCAAGGGTCTAGCGGTTCTTACTTCGTTAAGAACATGCAAGGGGTACGTGATTCTCTTTTTTCGTTTTCTTTTTTCCTCTATAGAGTATCTAATGTTCCTAAAGCATGCCGTATTTTATTCTTCATACGAATTGTTTTCTTCAGAAAATTATTGGCGTATTCAAACCTAAGAACGAAGAGCCTTATGGACATTTGAATCCAAAGTGGTTAAAATGGTTTCATAAAATATTTCTGCCCTGTTGTTTCGGTAGAAGTTGCCTTGTTCCAAACCAGGTGGGTTATTTTTATTCTTTATTTTTCACCAAAAATCGGTTGGTAGACATTTTAGTGCAAGGTTGATTCATTTCCGTGCAGGTTTGTGCCTTCAATTTACTTTTTTTCTTCAGTTTTTTCCTGTAAGGACCAGTTTTACGTGTCATCTTATGCTCATTGTATCATCGTTCTTGTAGTTTTACACTTCGGTCGCTCCCGTTCCACCTTTGTAACATTCATTTGTTTGGTATATACATATAGCCACGTGTGTTTATTTTAGAAGTCTTTCGATGCCGTGATGTTAAATTTCTATGTGACTGTGTATTAATACAATGTTCGTTTAGTGCATTTTTGCATTCAACTTTGAATCAAACCCTTGTTAAGTCGAAATCACTCCCACTGAACAAAGATTAGTTGCCCAGTTTTGATATAACGACCGCTCTCTGTGAATAACTACGCTTCTTTCTACTTTTTTTTTGTAACTGTGTATCCCAAATGTGCTCTCCATGAAATTATTTGCAGTTGTATAGACCTAAACGTATTTGTTAGGTCCAGAAGTATACTGAAGTGTCAAGATTTGTCGAGTTGAATCATTGGAAATTATTTAAAAAGACTTCGAGATACTAAATGGGCAATTTTTATTTGCAATACAGCTAATTCCAGTCGTTGTTAAATGTTGAACGCAAAATTTCTCATAAGACTCCCATTACTTTACTTTTTCATTGCCATTTCGTTCAGATTTTCATTTTGCGTGAAACGATGCCTCATTCGAACTGCGTTTTTAAGAGCAGATTTTGACTCGTTGTTAATCTTCCGTTTCTTTCTCCTTGTATTTTTTTTTTTGAATTATTGGAATATTTTCATTTTCGTTCACACTCGTTTTATTGATTAGATTATGGATTGCACGGACCATGACATGTTTGAATATTTAAATAGTGCTTCTTCACGAATTCTTATGCGGACCCTAGCACGCCTTCCATTTTTCTCGAACTTTGCTTGTTCGTTGACTTTTCTCCTTAGGTTATCGAGAAGCCTTAGTAGCGGTCTTCTGAATTTGAATCACAGACAGAATCCAGAATTTGTTTGTTGAACGCGGTCTGAAACGTTGCGGCTAGACTTGTTATAGAACAGCGGCGTCTCCTAGTAGTCGTTTACTTTTGGTTATGATTTCGGACTTAAATATGAAGCTTCTTATTAGCTTCCTCAACTCTTCTTGTAGATGAATCGTTTGTTTATATGGTATTCCACTAGGTGATCTATGCATTCCATCGTTTTCCACTGATATTGTTGTGCGAGTAGTTGCTAAAGCTTTTTACCACGTTTTGTTCTGGTCAGTATTCCTATTTAAGTCGAAGAACTACAGGAGTACTTTCCTCTGGAATGGAATTTCTTCGGCTGCCCCACAATGTTTATAATTCTTCCGATTGCTGTTCTCCTTCATTTAAAAAAGATTTTAGGTTTTTGGGATGGAGTGTCGTTGAACAATCTTTAAACATTCTTTAATCACCATGGAGAAAATTATTTTTTAAAATTATTATGTGTTAGATGAATGTTTTTCTAGTCATTCATGGTTTCTGACGGAGATTACCGTTGGATTCAAAGCAAGAACATTGAGGTATCATAATGGCTGATGTTTTGAACATTGGTTGTACAGTATGTGATGAACTATTCAGCAGAGCTTGTGAAGAGAATCTATAGTGTTCATGGCGTTTTATGTTCCATTCCTTAACACAAATTGTCCACAGTAAGTACGCCCTTTCTTACGTTGTTACTCAGATGCAGAGAATAACTACACCAACAGTGTTGGAAAACATTCTAGCAAGATCAATACTAGATGCATCTGATGCAAAATGTTTTTGTTCAGGTTGTTTTAATAATAGGCACAGAAAGTGTGAAGGATTCAGCGTATAGAAAATTTTTGTTCACCAAGCCTTTTCGACATTCTGTTAACGAGTGCCTGGATATCATGTTCAGTATCGATAAAGAAAGTGATGCAGCATTAGTTTCGTTTTCGTACTCGTTTTGAAGTGTGTTTATTCTAAATTGTCCGAGTTAATTGCTTCCTGCTGGACTGTCATGCAGAGAATGTCGTTGGAATTATGATTTACACTATATTGTATTCAATATTACTGCAGGTTATATCGTGTGACCTCATCCTCTTCGTACTTTGTTTCCTTTCAACCTTTTTTTTTGCTGGAAGGAAAAAAATTTTTTTGCGAAATTTAGAGGCAATTGATTACATTTCTATGGTAGGCGGTTGAGCCTTCCTTTTTCCAGCGAAGTCTTCCATCTCTCCAAAGTCGAAAAGTTGATGTAAATTGGTGTAAACAGGACTAAGCTTTGGCGCACCGGCGCACTAACTGAACCCCCATATGGTGGTGTATTGACCGTGTCCACATTGAATAGTCTAGCAGATTTACAGCTGTGGGAAGAACACAGGAGTATGTAATTCTTCGTATTCTTGTTAAGCAAACGCGAGGTGTAATTTTTATTCGTTATTCACGAATAAGCTGTTTCGGCGGATTTCGCCTTCCTCAGAGCCACTTTCTATGAGGCTTCCACTGAGTATGGCGCGAATAAAGAATAAAAATAATACCTCACGTTTGCTCAGCAAGAATACGAAGAATAACTTCGTTAACAGAAAGTCGGTCGTGAGAGTTACTACAAGAGCATGTCTCCACGGAACTACATGATGACAATTACTTTCGCTAGCACTCCGTAAATTAATGCTTGGGCGCAAAATGGTGTGTAAATTGAGTCATTCATTAATTTTCGGTAATCTTATACGGGATAGGGGCAGATAGCGCAGTGGTAATGATGTCCGTTATCACGAGCATGGTTCTAGTTCGATTCCGCTTCGGGCCAACCAAGCCTCTCAGCCGTCCGGGGTCGGGAAATTGGTACCAGACTTGTCATTAGAGACGCTCCAGCCCAGTTATCTTAGGACTCCAGAGAGAATTGCTGGACCAGCATTCTATGACATTCAAGATGAAATGAAAATCCTCAATCAGCAATCGAAGCCACATGTAAAAGTTGGAAGATCTTCGTGGACAATGGATGAGAGGAAACGAATTGAATGTGAGAAGTGCTGTGATCTATACAGGAAACTTGAAGAGGGTTCATATAAAATAAAAAGTAGGACTATTTTTTTTATAAAATGAAACAATAATCTTATGTGGGATTGCGTGTGAACCGTTTCATCATAAACTCTATAGTATTCACTTTTTGAATCGACGATTGAAATGAGTTCTGCCATCTAATTTGATTATCTGAAATAATCTTTTTCTTCAAGGTTATCTACACCATTCATTTGCTGGTGGTACCCGATCACAGCTCTTCGTTAAATTTGTCGACGGTCATCAGCGCGTTGATGCGAAGAAAGTAGTTGTTGAATGTCCAGTTCGATCCAATACTTCATTACCAGTGTCCGGCACTATAGTAGTGTCCTCTTATATCCTTGCTTCAGAATATTTCGGAGGATACCACAAGATATAAGTGCCATAATCTTGTGTGTAAGTGAAAACAGAGTTCTGGGCAACACTTACCAAGCACTTTTTTCCCAACCCATTACCTAAGATACCAACTATGGTCGCTTTCAATATAAAAAACTCCACACTTTGGGGGAGCTTGATAAGCAATTCATGATTAAACCCCGTTGTCACGTCTGTTTATAGCCAGCTTTCATGAAAGAGTCGTTTTGGCCAGAAGCATGTATTCCTTCGGTTCAATGACGCTGGCTCATGCATGATTTTCACAACAGCTTTAAGAATGCCAAGAGCATTAGTGTGCAGTCCTATCCCAGTTTTAACAACTTAGATAACGCCCTTGGTTCAGTCAAAAGGAAGTGTGCGTGGAAGACATGATAATCTTTGCAGCCTACTACAAACACTTTTTTTAGTTTTACATCAAGTTCAGAATTCTATAAATTGCTAAAGTTGCTATTCTATAAAACCATAAGAGGACTTTTTTAGCTGTGCAGTAATAATCAAGTAGCTTACGGGTAACTGCTTCGGAGATCGGAGCTCAGTAATGGGATTGTATCAGAAATCAAAAAGGGTGGATATGCCATTTACCAGAGCGATAAGTGCTAGATAAGAACCGTCGGAATCCGGGTTCTATATTATGTCAAGCAAAGGTGATTCCATGGAAGAGCCTCACTTCACAAATCCGAAAACCCAAGACGAATTATGAGTTCTTCATGTCGCTCAATCGCGTAGGAACCACTGTTGCATAGGACAGGAACGATCGGAGACATTGCTAGAGTCCCTTCGAGATATTAGTGATCAGCTGAAGGATAGCTTATGCAGGTGGTCTACTAAAATTTCCTCTGTAAAAATTGTTTGTATTCACTATTTTCTATAATATTTACATTGTACAATTCTCAGAGTAGCTTGGAGATCGTGAAGAATACAACAGTTATGTGGTGAATTCCCTTTATGATCTTGTAACAAGAAATTTATGTAAGCAGAAAGAAGTGTGAAAGTCGTATACAATCTCTAAGAAAGTATCTTACGATATTAAATTATCTGCTCATTGTTTGAAGTCAAGGAAAGTGGTTGTAGTTATTTTCTGTAATGTTCACTGAGGTTCACAAGGCCTTCGAAGCAATTCTCATTGTAGGAAGTTCACTACTGAATAGTGTTGTTGATAAATGAGATTTCCTTGCACTGAAGGTGCTATAGACAATCGGTGTTGAGTTTTTCTTGGCAAAGACAGGAACAGTGAAACATTAGACGGTTTTATCACAAATCGCATGAAATACAACTTTGATTTGTGCTATAGTTTTTAAGCATAGCGAGTACAATATTCAGAAGAAGAAAACGTGCAATGCAATTTTATTCCGTACTAAACGACAGTGTTTTACGATTGGTTAATAAAAATTAACTCTGTGAAAGCTAGGTATATTTTAATGCGTTAGGAGAGCGACAGTGAGTAATGATTACAGATAGCAGCATAGTTGCTTCTTGATGTGGGCTGACGACGGTGTGGTTTACAGTTCATCTTGGTTGGGTGCTAGCGTATCATACTTGGAATGTGTTGATGATTGCATAGAGCTCTCGTCACGATTCAGTGGAATATCTACAATAGAGGGATCCTTTTCGCGGACAGAATCACGTCCAAGTGAACTGTCTCGTCCACCATACACACTTTCACGACCACTAGCAGTGTTTCCGCCAACTCCGCCGTAAGCGGAGTCGCGGTCACGCATCGATCCGCCATACAACGAACCTGTTAATAATAGACTATTTTGTTAATCTACAAGTTGAAGAACAAGGCTGCGAAGAAATCGTCCGACTCTTATCAACTTCAAACTTTTATTACAGCTCATTTTTCTAAGTTGTGTTCCCACCATATTGTTTGCTCTGGCCCATTTGTGGGTGACGTGTATAGTATCGAAGGACTGCTTCGCAGCACAATACTACGTGGAGCTTCGTAGTTGTATAATCAGCATTGACTATTATTTTATTAAATAATAGGTGTTAAGTCATATGTTAAGGTTAATATGTTAAGTGGAGATGCAATTCTACGCACTTGATATGAGTAAAGAAGTAGATTCTCTAGGTGAGTCTTTATATGTACGAGCAACATTTAGAATGGCTGAGGGATCACTATATGGCGATTTAGACGTAATTATTACTTCCATACCAGTGTCATCAGGGCCACGACCGTATGAAGTGTTGGACTCACGGTTGTCAGCTAGTGTTCTGTTATGAGCTGGGGTTGAAGTGCCTAGTGGCGGTGTAAGCGGATTTGACGCGAACGTCGAACGTGGCATTCCAAATCTGCAAGTCAATTTCGTTGAAATATTCACGACAGCTTGCACTGATATCATGAAATTCGATGCAGAAATAATGGTTGTTGTCAAGTTAACTGTATAAAAACCACTATCTATTTCCTCTCTAATTGAAATAGAAGCCATTAGGCTTTTGTTTTAAAACTGAGTCGTTGCTAATTTATTTCATGACAAATTGATAGTCTTCCAGAGGCAACAAATCGGAACTTTTTTTTGAAGCTTGTATTTCGATCACGAAGGTGAACAGGCAGGATTTCCTCCAACAACATATGGTGCTGTTTCCCAATATGTTGAAGTTTGCAGTTGCCGCTCTTGCGTTCAAATGTTCGAAATTTTAAAATTCGTTCTTCGAGCTTTGAAAAGTTCGATTTCTAGACAAATTCAGAGTTCAAATAAAAGTTTAGAAAATCTACTTCCTTAAAGTGACAGTCAAAGCCTTTTCTATAGGCTTATGAAGGCGCGACTTGACTCACCTAGTCTGACTATTGGAAAATTATCATAAATTGTTGAAAAAACGAACTTCATCGCTAATCTATTAGGTTGTTTCTGTGTTACGGCAAAATCTGATGTGGACATAAAGTGGTATGAACTGTGCCATAAGAAAGGTTTACATTTTTTTGTATTACGTTTAGTAACGTTAACGCAGTCTGGCTTGACGAAAACTTGTAAATATTGTTGCGAATATATCATTTTAGCATATTTGGATTGATAAATTGTCTTTCCTACCCGACAGAACGGCTACCACCGTGTATTATTGTATCCAGATTATTATCTCCATAAGTTCGAATACCAAGTACATTTCCTCCAAGACGCCCGATATCGTTAACCAATGAACGATCAATAAAATCTCTGGAAATTTCGGAAGTTTTGGCCGAAAGAAATATTTCAATAATGAATTTATCGCTAATTAACCTTCTCCTTCTACGTTCTCCATCGAGTTGGTCACGAAGAATGGCAATTTGGTCTTCAAGTTGCTTAATTCGATTTCTGTGCGTACGTTCACGATTTTCAATCACTTTTTCAATCTGTAAGCAGGAATTTCGAGATCGTCTTATAATCGGCTAAAGGAAATGACCCTCAATAGGAAAGCACAGTTCTCCGAAATTGTCTGTGATTACAGTTGTATGTCCCAAACCCAAAGATCTGGACGGTCTTGTCAATCAGCATGTAATTCTCTCTTCTCGAGTGTCATTTACGTCTTCGTGTTATACTATATGTTGTTTTTTGAATCGTTATATGTTGTTGATATTGTATCCTACCTGGCTTTTTTCTTGTCTCATTCTCTGCAGCTGACGTTCTTGCTCTTCACGCTGTTTGTTTGTCAATTCGAGAATGCGGTTACCGTTTTCCATCTCAAGTTGTGCGATCTTAAAATATGTTTCCTTTCCGTTTCACCTAGGTCCACTATTTGAAATTCACTGCTGAGCACGATTCTTACCTGTTGCTGTAGTTGTGCGCAATTCTTGTATAGTTCTTTGTTCTCACGTTCCATGGCGTTGAGAGATTTTTCAATAGCTTCGCGCTGTAACGCCGTCTCCCGAATTGCTGCCTCAGTTCGACGTTTCTCTGATTCAAGCTGAACAAATGCTCAGATTTCTCGCACTATATTTTTCTGAAACACTTTACCATATCGATCTTCTTATGCAGCATGAACTTTTCTTTCTTCCATCCCTCGAGAATTTGTGAGTTTGAACGTTTTTCGTCTTCAAGTTGTGTAATACGACGCTTTAGCTCCTCTATTTCCTATATGGGCACTCCAGTAATTTGCTTTAAGAAGAAGTTCCATTTTCTCCACATACCTTAACAGCTGCATGCTTGCCATTTTTAGCCGCATCCAGTTGCTGACGTAGTTCGTTTTCCGCGGTGCGTTGTTGATTGAGGCTCTATAATGAAAGCCACTAGGGAATAAAGCAGGTCAAAAATAGAAAATACCTTTTCCATAGACAATATTCTGTCTTCAAGACGATTCTTCTCAGAATTCGAGTCTTGTAGTTGCCGTTGAAGCTCAGATAAACGGTTATTAACATCGTGTACGCGTTGTCTGGAGTCGCGCAGTTCACTGCGTAGAGTCAAAAGTTCAGATTCCAGTTGAGTTTTGCGTGAGTTTGTCGTGTTAAAGTCGTTTTGTGTATTCATTAGCTGATCTTTGAGTATCAGCAATTCATTGCTAACTTTAGCATTTATCTCATTGTGTTTACGTAGTTCTATCTCGTAAGATTCGGCCTTAGCCAAGTCTCTCTTCAGTTTGTCAGCATCTTCACGCATATCTTGCACTTTGTTATCGCTAAGACGAAGAGCGGCGTCAAGTTCCTTGATCTTTTCAACGAGAGTCTGAAAGGACGATACTGTACGTAATGATAAATTAAATCTATAAAGTTGTACCAATACTTTGGATAAGTAAAAGCAATTAAACCACATTTTGAGCAGCGATGCAATTGAAATAAGTAGATAGAAAGCTCAAAATTGCATTCTTTCTTTTAAAGTGCATCAGCAATATCATCAGCAACCAATTTGGGCTCTAACATAACATAAACGATTACATACCTGTCTTTCGGTCTCAAAGGAGATGATCTGCATTTCGAGTTTTTGAGTATGGCTATCTTGTTCCCTTATTTTACCCTCAAGCTGGAATCGGTTCGCATCCCAGCTTTCCTCCTTATCTCGCAACGCACGAATGTCTGCATGAGCATTATCCAGATCAGTGCGCAGATTTTTTAATTGTTCCTAGAACAAAACTATTATCCTCGGTATAGGTTTTCGCATTCTACAGTCGGGAGGTAGTTATGGATTCAATGTTTTTCATCAATAAGCAGACACGAGGTTGTTAATATAGAATTTATTAGAACACAATTGCTGACGTTTCGGCGGTTTCGCCTTCTTCAGAGCCTGGAAAGGTCAAATTGAGATGTGATCTACTCAGCCAAACACTTTCACAACCCTAGCAGATAAAACTTGACAATTAGATTTGCATTCGCATAAGAAACAGCTTCATTTAAACACCTACCGTTTATTTGTTGTAAGTATTTAAGTTAGTTGGTGGATAGCCGCCGCAACAAAATACTCCACTAGGCTCGCATAGGATGCAAGAACACAACGGAGAAGATTTTGAGGTAGGAGTCACTATCCTTACGCAGGAATCAAAAACATCAGCGCGTAAAACTCTTGAAGCGTTTTGGATCAATGCCAAAAATTCAAAAATGAACCGCAAGGAGGAGTGTCTTGTCATCACGCGTGACCTGGCGCCATACCTCAGGCTGATCCAATGACCTGACATGGACACAGTTATCGACCATGTATTACTCTGTGCGGCGGCTATCCATCAACTAACTTAAATACTTACAACAAATAAACGGTAGGTGTTTGAATGAAGCTGTTTCTTATGCGAATGCAAATCGAATTGTCAAGTTTTATCTGCTAGGGTTGTGAAAGTGTTTGGCTGAGTAGATCACATCTCAATTTGACCTTCCCAGGCTCTGAAGAAGGCGAAACCGCCGAAACGTCAGCAATTGTGTTCTAATAAATTCTATATTAACAACCTCGTGTCTGCTTATTGATGAAAAACATTGAATTATCAATTAATGCCGAGGTTAACAGAAAGTCGGTCTTGGGAGTTATGGATTCAGTTGCGCCAATCAAAATAATGAATTTGCAGCCCAGAGGAGATTAAGATTTTCAGTTTTGAGATTCATTTTCACTTACGTTGAGGTGTCTGAGTTGAGCTTCTTTGCCTCGCGCTTGCAGTTCCGCAGCTACCATTTTCGACTTCATCTGTCGACGCTCCTCATCACGCTGTTTAAGCGCTTCTTCCTGGGAGCAAAGAAGCTGCTTTGCCGACGATAATCTTGCTTCCAAAGCTCTTTTATCTGCAGTGATTTTATTTTTCGATAACTACTTTTTATACTTGTTCTTAACAGTGGTAGGTAAGCTTCTTTTTTTCCTTAACACATTGTATGATAAAGTAAATTGCAACCGAAGACAATACCGACCCTCTTCAATGTCATTTAAGTTGTCTTCAATAGTTTTATATCTGGTCTCATGCCTGCTGATTGTCGTATGCGATTCACTCGTTTTTTTGCGCAAACGATTGAGTGCGTCTCGAAGCTCGTTCTGAATGTTTTACCATTATGTAAAAATAGCGAGAATTCTCATGATGTATTGATTTCATTACTCGTTCAAGCTCTAGCTTCTCAATCCTTCCAACGAGTTGTTGAAGCGTGTCTTCGAACTGGGAAACGTTTACAACTTCGTTGATATTAACGGTAGTTGTTCCATTCAGGGTTGCAGTTACACGACCTCCTGCTGGAATGAAATAGTCGTGTCTAGAATAGAATTCTTGAACGTTTTAGAGGTGCTCACCTCCAGTATGTGTACCAGTATAATCAATACTGACAGGGAACGGTACAGACCGTGGATATTGTACATCTATAGGAGCACCGGCATCCCGTGGAATGTCTACCTCATGACTCTCGATGGCACCACGTGGCTCTCCATCAGTCACATCATGGAAGCGACTTAGGTTGATAACGCGTGTAGCAGAAGCCTATATTTGTGAACTAGATTTAGACAACTTATTAGAATAAGTTTAAGGTTAAACTAACTTGGAATCGCCGAAGAGCATCTGCTAATGCATCTCTTTCGGAATCTGCATTGACAAAATCTTGTTGTAGAGCTATTAGACGTTGCTCAGTGCCTTCTAATCTTGACTGAAGATCGCTGAGCTCGTATTTACGACTCTCTGAGTAGACATTTATCAGTTTATGGCCATCATATATTCTGAGTGAAAATATACCAAGTTCTTGAAGGGCATTCAGTCTGCCATCTTCGGAGACTCTATGTGCGTGTGCAAGGTCATCAAGAGTTGACTGGTATTCGTCAGTCTTCCTCTGCATTTGTTCAGCACCAAATTTAAGTTCCTGTTGAAGTTTAGCAAGTTCGTTTCTGAGAGCCGTGCGCTCACTGTCGGCGGCAATTAGCTGAATAAGTTTTATAAAATGACTGTGTCTCTTACATTTTTCTATAAACTTTACTGTCCTCTGTGTCACTTTGGTCCTTAGCAAATGTGCCCCAGGGAGTTTACTAGATTTTTTGGCCCATTTGAGTTTATTAAAACACGCTATCTAAACTTGACAAGTGGCAATTTTCAGCATTAACTCTCAGTAATCCCTTACTCACCTTATCAGATGTTTCTTGCAGTTCCTGGCGCAACTTCTGTAATTTGGAATCGAATTGCTGTGAAAGTTGTTGAAGGTGATCTGTCTGTTTAGTCTTATCTCTGTAGACATTCTGGAGGCGTTCGCGCTATAAGGTTCAATGTTTAGTTTTTAGAAGATAACTGTGCCCGTTAAATTTTATATGGACTTCTGTTTTCATGTGGACGAGGCTGTTCTTCATTTCCTTCAGTGCGTCTTCTGCCACTTTCAGGCGATTTTTGAGACGGTTAGAATCTGATTCCAAATTCGAATTAGCGTTCTTAAGCACGTCGTTCTGTCTTTGTACTGTGTCCAGTTCACTCCTCCATTTATTGCTGTCAGTTTGGAGCTGAGCATACAGCTCCTCAAGAGATCGCAATCTGAAATTTATTAATGTTAAAGACAGAGTTAAATTTTGATTCTTATCTTACCTGTTGGCAGTGCTCTCGAGATCTGATTCCTTTTGAATGAGATTCGACTTAGTGTCTGTGAGTTCCTCTTCGAGGCGACGAACTTGTGTTGTTACTGGAATCATCTCTTCATTTTCTCAGTAATGTATGTAGCTGTGAGTAATTAGTTCTTCTTTAAATTTCAGTATATGCTAACTCTTGTATGTAGGCCGATATCGTGTATAATACCAGTATTAATCAAAACGCGGCAATAAGTGATATGCTAACTTTGAGCAGTTTCATATGCTACGTGCGCTGGACGTTTCTAAAGGAAAAGCTTTTATAAAAAACACTTACAGTCGCGAATCTTTGCGGTGCTGTCATTAATAGTTTTATTAAGATGTTCAGTGCGGTCATTAGCAGCTTGAAGTTGAGCCTTCAGACCTGTGTTTGTGGTCTCAAGAGCCTTAGCTTCGGAACGCACTTGATACGCGTCTGTCTTCCACTTCTGTACTTCCTGAACATCATCAACGGATTAAAGAGTCGTGGTTCATATAGTACTCTCAGAGATAATCGTTGTGTTCACCTTGTCCATTTCGTTGCGAAGATCTTCCATATCATCACGCATTTTTAGATTCTGATTATTTAAAGAGGTTATCTTCGCTTCGCTATCTCTTAATTCGCGTTCTAGATCGTTTTCTCTGAAATTTTTCTCAGAACTTATTAGGTAACTATTCAGATATAATTATCCCTTTCCACCTGTTTCTTTTGCATTTGCTGATTACCATATGCTAATAAATAGTAGTGTGTCTGACTCTAAGACTATTACTTCTTACTTAATAATTACCTGTTCAGGGCATCTGCGAGCTGTTTTTCTAAGTTGCGAATTTTTTCGCGAAGGTCTTCTTCTACGACTTTGAGATTTTCAACAGCCTGAAAATTCTTTTTGGATGAAATAAAACTTAACTTAGTATACTTGGAACTTGAAATTTACCTTCGCATACTGCTCCTTCTCTTCATCGAGGTCGCTGAGATGCTTGTCGTGAAGTGCATTGATCTCTGACCGAAGTTTCTCGATTTCAACGGCATGTTTGCGCTTTAACTCGAACATGTCATTCTCTTGGCGTTCGTTCCCGCGTCCAGTTTGGGCCAGCTCGTCCTCCAGTTCACGAATCCGACGATCAAGATTGTCCTGCATACAACTATGCTCAATATTCAAACCGAATTATTCAGAGATGTTACAATTATGTTAGGAATTGAAAAGAAAACAGAAATGGGTCCTGTAATGCAAACACTTGCACCTCGCTTCTCAGCTACCTTTCTAGACCAGTCATCTTCACCTTTTCATTTTCGAGCTTCTCCAATTGCATCCTCCACTTGTCGTTAATTTCCTTAATGCGTAAGTCAGAGAGAAGATCATCGTGGTATCGATCTACTGTTCGATCAATAACGGTGCGATCAGTTTCAGACGAGTCTGTGATAAATAAATGCTGATCAAATATATAGCTAGCAATTTCAGTTTAACGTGTTATTGATGGTGGCACATTCTCGATTAAATAATCAACCGATCATTCATAAGTGATGAGTACCGTGGACATTCAAAAGTACGCACTTACCTGGTATAGTGATCTCATCACCTTCCGTCGTTTCTCCTTGGACTCCGTCTCGTCCTGTTTTAATGATGGTCGTGGTAGTCCTTGTTTTTCTACTATCCTATTATTTAGTTATTTTTGTGTTGTTTCACACTGTTATGTATATATCTATATGTATACACATACACATGGATATATTTGTATATGTATGTATATACGTATGTTTATATCACAATATGAAGAAAATGCTACCTTTATTCCTTTAATTCTATCCCTCAAGTCCCGAATTTCTTGTTCAAGTGTTTTAATCTTATCTGAAAGCAATACGGCTTTGTTATACCTACTATCACGGTTTTCAGACAGTTTTTCTGTGTAATTTTCTAAGAATACCAGTGAGTTGTTGGATTTCGTGCTTGCTGTCGTCGAGCTCCTTCATCAATAAGTTTGCTCTGCTAAGTTGCTGATTGTGTGCGTCACGAGCCCGCTCTTCTTTGACTTCAAGCGTTTTGTTCTCGTTGCGAAGTTTCTCAAGCTCTTGCTCCAGCTTTCGAATAGTTTCTTTTAAGGATTGAATATCGGTATCAGCTTTATGCTTTTGGCTGAAAAGGCGATTTTTTAAAGAGTAATACGACTTACTGGGTGCACATATGATGGTCTACTTACTTCATAATCTCCTGCTTTTCTTTCTGTAAGCGCTGATTAAGGTCGTTCAACTTTTCACATTCGCTGTTTCTTGATCGAATCTCATTCTCAAGTTGGGTAATCTTGCCTTGCAAGTTTTTAATGGTGGTGTCGAACTCGTCGTTATGACGTCGCAGAAGCATTACCTGCAATTAACGTGGTTTTTCTGATTTTCTGTTTTTTTTTCGTTGTTTCACTTTAACCAAAGGGCTGTGAGTTGCTCACCTGCCTATCATAGTCGTCAATGGTCTGTTTCAGTTTTTCAATTTCGTCGTTGAAGCGCCCCTCATTTTTGTTCAAGTCTTCTATTGTTTTTTTATCCGTTTCATACTTATGACGGATATCAAACAATTGGCGCGAAAGTTCGTCTTTCTGCTTCCTGTCAATTTATCCTTTTTAAAGACAAGATTTGCTGCATTTAAGATGACGTCACCTACTGATAGTCATCGCGTTGTCCTTTGAGTTCCTTGAGTTGTTGCTCAGCTAGGTGAACACTTTTCAGTGCGTTATCGAGGTCACCGGTCAGCCTATCGTGATCTGTAGTCAATGAGTCGTTACGACCACGCTGATCATCAAGATCTCTCTGGATATTTCTGCGGATTTCCTCGATATATTTAATCTGCGAGTCCTGAAAAGCAATAACAACAGGTTTTTGTTCTCGTCGAGTCGTACTAGAGCGACGTACCTTTTCTTCCAGTCTACGTAATGCGTTGTTGTGTTCGTTTTCCATATCGCGAAATCTGTCTTTGAGTGGAGCCATTTCCGATTTGAGTTTGTTATTTTCTCGGAGCAAGTTCTCGATACGCTTGTTAAGGTCATTAATCCTGAAATTGCAGAGGGATTCTCTTGTTAAATTTCTATGTTGGGCATGTCTTCTAGAACAGTTAGAGAATTGAGTAGTTAAATATTATCTATAGTCTTAACCTTTTTTATTAGTCTTAACTGCTGATGGCGCCGATCAATAGAACTAGCTGAGAAACAGGCGAAACGAAGGACCCGCATGGTGTGTGGTTATTTCCCGGAAAGGACAAAAACCCACTGCAGACACCTGCAGTCCGGAGTTTTGCCGATATCTCAGCATTATCTTAGTTGTATTTCACATCATACCCTGCTGTTAAAAACTATAGTAGACAGTAAATAAAAAAGGTTAAGATTGTGATTTCGACTTCAGCCTCAGCTTAACTAGGTTCGTGGCCGATTTGGGCTCCCTAGATCAGTTCGTTGACGGGTGATTGCTGATGGCGCCGATCAATAGAACTACTTGAGAAACAGGCGAAATGAAGGACCCGCATGGTATGGTGGTTAACGCGTTACTCCCCGGGAAGGACAGTAGCGCGTTCGTTCCCCACCGCATACACCTGCGGTCCGGAGTTTTGCCAATATCTCAGCATTATCTTAATTATCTATAGTGTTAATAAGATTACCAACTAAGCTTTTTCAATGTACTGGTTCCGTCGTCTATTTCTTTAATTTCTAAACATCTTACGTCCTTTGATTAAGGTATAGAGTTGTGTTGAGAGATCTACTTATTATCAAAGTTCCCCCATATGTTCCTTGAAGATGTTCACATTGCACCTGTTTTTATGGTCTTCAATTATGCTGGTCGTCTGCTCATCCAGTTCGTCTCTGATCTTCTGCGCGTCTTCTATAGTTGATTTTTGATAAGATCTAAATATATTAGATTCATTTATCTGATATGTAGAAGAGGTAAACCTCCGCACTTTGTCAAATTCTCGCTGACTTACGCCTGAAGTTTTGCGAGTTCTTCTTCGAGAAATTTCCTAGCCTTATCCGTCGCTTGTCGTTCGGATTCCGAAGCACGAAGCTTATCTTCAATTCGACGTAGGTTCCTTTCCAATTCATCGACTTGCTTGTGTCTGTAAGACAATGGTAGTGAACATTGCACCTTTAATACTTCGCAAAATGTTGGCTGTTAAGCCATTCTTACTGGTTGCTAATTTCTCGTTTGGCATCTGCAAGCTGCTTTTCGAGACGTCGGCGTGTGTCGTCAGCGGTCTCGAACTTCCTCATGAACTCTTTCACCTGAGCGAATTTTCTTCTAAGTTTAGAATTTCAATCCATCGTAGTTGTTTCGGGAACACTTTACAGAGGAGGTTAATGAATTTATTTCATAAATGTACATTTCAATTTGTAATTGCTTTTTTTGCGCCTACTGAACTAGCAAAACTGAAAATCGTCGTTGCGTAAAGACGTGTTTACGAGAGCATGCGAGGTCAGTTTTTTAAGGGAACATGAATCTAGTAATTTTCCGCCCAAGCTGAACTTATTTATCGACTCTGCTCACTTTTTATCAAAAGCAATTTAGTTCATCTCATTAGCGGATAGTAGCTTCTTATCTTCGGTAATCGGAAAGCGTGTAAGGCTTTAGTAACATACTTGACTCTCGGAAATTTTGAGTTTCCTCTCGAGCTGCTGAATGTCGTTATCCTTGCTACGTAGCGCATTCCGCACTGAGCGGAGAGCTTCTGATGGCGGTAGCGGTGATTTGCCTAAGTGTGTAATATTGTTCATGAATTTCTTTTCTCAATTATCTCTTCGAGCATTCTGCATATTTGTCCGGTTTTGCACGCTATGTGCTTTCCTCTTTGTTACTCGTCGCTTCCATTCATATAAAATGACACCTAGTGACTGGAATAAGTTATTATAGAGCGGACTTCGCAGTTGGTTTTCTACAGCTATGAAAGATTAGTAGGAGAAAGATGTGGTAAAAAGTGTAAGTTTAACGTTTTGAGAAGGGGTGTCTTGTAACCAGGTCATCTGAAGTGCTATTGCGAAATCCTTAGTCTTACGTTGTAAGTTCAAACGAAAAGATGGATATCAGTTGAGGAATGGCGGCAATGTTCCATAATACGATAGCGAATGACGGACTGCTTACCAGGCGACAAGGATCGTGTACGCTTCTGACTTCCACTCGTCAATCGATCGGCGTCCTGACTAATTTCATGCATTTTTCTCAACGCATTAATGCTGTCGTTCAGCTTTTCCTTGACACGACGCAACTCTGCTTCCAAATCGGCGATTTTTCTCTGACTTTCGTCTCCTTTCGATTCAAGCTCAATGTTGCGTTCGATAGATTCCTCATATCTGTAAAAAGTACTTGTATACACTTGTATACCATGTTATCAAAACTCTGCTTGGATAAAAATTTATTTTGTGGCTTCAGTAATCCATTCTAACTTACTTCAACATCAGTTCTTTCTGTAGTTCGGCGTCTCCTTCACTGCCCCTAGTGCCACGAATGAGTTTCAGCTCATCGATGAGTGAACGATCTCCTGCAGCAGTTCCAGTTCTATCGCGGTATCGCTTAACAGCTTCGATTATGGTGCTGTCATAAGTTGCCGTATGACTTCCTTCTTTGAGTAGATCGGTTAGAAGTGCTGCAAGTGAAGGCCCAGTTGGGCTAGTCGCTTGCTGAAAGTTAAATTTTCTTCTATTAAGGTGATAATTATTTCTTTAATTTTGCCTCACATCTCCACCAATACTGATGTTTCGGGTGATGTTGGACACGCTTCTGATCACTCTACTGAATTCGTTTCGTTGCGTTTCCAGATCACGTTCTGTTTGTTCCTTAAGCTCAGAAAACTGTTTGCGAACTCTTTGCAGCTCCGTCCACATGTCCAACATTTTCTTTTGTTCATCGCTGAGATACTGCGCCAGGTTCTAAGATTCAAACATTTAAGTATTAATCGCTCATTACCTTAATGAAAAGAGTTCAATTCTGAATTTACATACTCTTTCTCTGTTCACGAATGTTCGCTCCTTGTCGCGATATTCTCGATCACAACGATCGAATTCGCGGCGAAGTCTCTCATTCTCATCTTCCAGACGCTCCCTAGCAATTTTCTCATTTTCCCACTGTATACGATATTCATCGGCACTGAAATATGTGGTGTTTTATTCCGAAGTATGGCTCTATAATATATCGAAATTGTGACAGCAGTCACAGCACTCTACCGCCTGCGCTCCTCATCGAGTCTAGCGATCATCTCATAATTAGCATTCGGATCACCAGCGACCACTATATTCATATTCGTTCTTCCTCCTCTAGTACGAGATGGACTCCACATTTCAATGTCACGGCTAAAACATTAAGAGCTTGGGATTAACATTGCAGAATTTTATTGTTTGCAGAGTATAAGAGCTCACAAACTGTTAGTGGTATCTTGAAACATGTTTGAGTCAAGGATGGTGAATCCGCTATCGTCAGCTTGTCGTTTTCGCGCACTCACCATCTTACCTTCCAGTTCCGCGATGTGTTTCCTGTACTCGTGCACCTGCAAAGAATACGTATCACTTTGTGGCTATTTTAGCGTGCACAAAGCAGTGTTCAAGAAAATGTATTTACTTGTCAAACCGACATATTAGGCAGCAGTTATATATAAGCGGATATTCTAGTGGGTAGGGTCCTTCAATGTTACCTCCCTGAAGCAAGCAGAAACCATTTGATAACTGACGCGTAGCAGAGACAGAAACTTTAGGGTGCGCACTCGTGTTATTTGATGGTTACCAGGGTTGTAGGTGATATAAGTGACCATAATAGGAATTTCCATGAAAGTGAGGAGTGTTTCTGAACACATGTAACCGTTAGGGGCAACCTTTTAAACAAAATACGAGTCTTTATTTGGCTGTTACATCTGTGTTGGCGTTTTGCCTGACTATTTTATCTTTCTTTAAGTACCATACCTTATTCTGAAGCGCTGCCATCATTTCGCTATACTCTTTCTGCTGTTCGACATTGTTATCTATTCTTTGACGGACTTTGTTGAGATCCTCTTGTGTACGATCTAAGCGTGTGACTGCTGCACCACGATCGAAATCGAGAAGATCGTCTTCGAATGATGAAGTATGGTGATAGTTATTCTCACCTGATGTATCCCTGAAGAGGTCATACTTCAAAATAGCGTACATATTGATCGCTTAACTTTAGATTGAGACGCTTAATCAGTTCAGTTCAGTTTAAGATCAGTGTGCTTTTCAGCAACCATCACCAAAAACTTTTTCACATTCTAGCGTTTCTGCTTAACAGCTCTTTTAATATCTGAACACTTTCTGCCCCAGAATCTTAATTCTATCTTTTTACATTGTTGGACGTTACACCATGCAGATTAAATGAGCATCACTTTGTGGTTTCATATCGTTGGTATTTTTATCGACTCTAGTTTCTTCTCTACAAGATGGAAGACATAAACAGTTTCAGGAATGGGCAATTTCTGTCCCAAAAAAATGGAGGCCATTTCGTGCTCCTTGCTCCCACTTTCTGCCGTTTGCGCTCGTCCCGACGAAAGCAAGTGTGTGTGCACTGTGGCATTGATTTATCCCATTTGCAGACACCACTACGAGTAGTATGCTTTTCAATGACAAGAGAGATAAAACAGACATCAATTCACGTGCACCACAAAACGGCGGACACCCCGCCAGTTCGTTCGATTCTTGTTGCCCAATACAAGGCGATGAGAGAGAGAGTGAACAAGAGTGAAGAAGAGAATGAGTGGAAGAGTAAAGGACGTAGGCAGTGAGGCAGGGTGTGCATATGCACACGGAAACGACTCACCAATAGAATTCACCATAATTGGAACGCGAACCCGGACTTTCGGGAATTAGGTCCTTGATAGTATCGCTAGAAGGTATATGAATCGTGCTTCCGGCGTCTATACTGCTTCTTGTTTCATCGTGGTCGTCCATTCTCGACCGCCCTGTAATATACTCTAATTTAGCAGGTTTAGAAGCAAAAAAGCTCTATGTTAAGGAGGATAATGTCTTTGTGTGTATTTTAAAATTTCCTAAAACGCTTGATTAGGAGAAACGACACGACGCACAAGTAAAGCATTACATGCTCGTGTTTTTCAGTTTTAGACAAGATGATGGAGCACGCAGTTCATCGTCACCTTTTCGATTATCTGCTTCGCAATGTTGTCGTTGTCGTCGTTGCTGCTCAAATACGTGCTCAGTTTCAGATGGTGTAAGGGGACGCACTGATACCCTATTAGAAATGTGCGTCCACTTTCCCGGGACAATGTCTTCCACTCGTGTCACCAGCGAACTGGATTGACTGGGTGATGAACTGGTTGGTGCGACGGGTGAGCAGCGATGAGACTGTGATGAGTAATCGCATTGGACATCGTCCGATGTTATGCTATCAGACACAATTAACTTTCCTTTCAAGTAACTGCCACTAGTGCCGCAACTGAAGATCATCAAACGAGCACATCAGCATGCTGCAAGAAACGTCGTCACGATATGCTTGTGACCCACATCTCTCGAGTATTTGATGCGTTCGGTATACGAAGCTCTATGCAATTGTTTAAGAATGATGAGAAAAGATGCTAACGCATCAACAATGAGCAATTGATGTGTGTTTTAGGATATTCGCAGCATATGAATTGTGCCAACACGAGTGTGTGGTCTCAGTAGCGCTCAGCAAGGTGTTATTAAGTGAATGCCAACAATGCTGAGGGAAGCTGCGTCAGCCTGGTTTTTCAACAATGATGACCTGTTTCCACTAATGTGCAGAAGGCACTACTATTCAAACGTTGGTCCTCATTCAGTGGATGGTGTTCTATTGATCCAAGTCACAATTCTGCCTACTAATTTGCAATTATAACGAAATGAAGTGAAAATAATAATTATTAATTATATAGCAAAAAGATTAATTACAACGGAAGTCACGCGAAAAAAACGCGAGCCATCATTCGGAGATTATGTGGCATGTACGTTTCATACAAAACAAGAGGTAGCCCAGTTAGCTCACTCAGATCGGAGTCGGAGAAAAACAGGAGCAAATAGAAACGAAGCGGGAAAGTGCATAGATGGAGTGCTGCACGTATGTGCGAGAGGGAGAGAGAGACGCAGAGGGAGCAAAACAACAATGTTTGTTTACTAACAGCTAGTTCGTCGACGGTCGATGCAGCTAATGCTTGTAGCTGCAGAGTACGTGATTTGGTTACTAAGCAACAAATATAGATTCTTGCAAAGAACAGTTAGCCAGCCACGGCATTTCTCACTCGCTCTCACTTATTCTCTTCCACACAGTTGCATGCCATCCTGATCATTATGTAGTCGAATAATAACTCATGTTTTCGATTTCACTGCGATGGAAAAATATGTTTTCACGCAGATTTTGCCAATCGATATGGTGGCGAACAAGTAGTACCTAATGTTTTATGCCCTTGTCACCAGCAGTGGACGTAATAACTAACGACACAAATCAATATGATTTGCGTGATTTTTAATACAAAAGTGTATAACGTGTGGAGTTGTAGGGGCGTCGTATGCCATGAGGACGGTGTTTCACCAAGGCCGGAGTTGACACGAGGGAGGGTCCGCTGTCCGCCCGAGGGCATCGATTTACGCGGCAGCACAGCGTTGATCCATTAATGACGAGCGACTGTCACTCAGTATCATGACACTAATACAATTCCTGGATTAGACGCTAAGTCCTTTGGCCGCTCATCTAACAAAAGTTACCGAAAGTCGGAACTAGTGCAAAGAAATACGAATAGTTAGTTGTTGTATTTACAGCGCTATTGTAGTACTCATTCGTATATTGGGGCTTTTATCAGATAGTGTTGTGACGATTAACATCGACAAACTTTCTGTTAACATAGGCAATGACGCTATGATTGGTACATAGCTTTCAACGTGTGAAAATTAACGATAAGCATGAAGAAGTGACTTTTCTTGACCTAAAGAAAAAATGTCTCTATTAGTTACCTTATAGAAGTGTTCGATTTTAGCTTCACTTAGTTCTGACACCTGTTATTAGAGTGACGAGGTTTTTAAGAATGTGGATATGAAATGTAGACCCAACAGATACGTACTAGCAGCATCACAGGCACGAGATGCACAAAATTGGTAATGTTTTTCCTTTCTTATAACATCACTAACTGGATGCCTTTTGTGGTTGATTGCTGGGCATGAGAATGACCAAAACACCAAACAACTATTTGATTTACTGCTTTTCATAGTGACAGTCATAAAAGTGTTTAGCATTTGCAAAGTGTACGTAGACATTTAATCTGTTCACTTTCATCTCGAAATTGTAGTTTTAGAACCAAAAAAAAATGCTAAAAGTTAGATCAATGAATTATTCACATGTTATTTTTCTATTTAAGCAGAGCAATAATGGAAGAATGATGAGTTTGGATGATTTTTAAGCTTTGTTTAAATGCTTGCTTAATGTCCCTAAACACAAGATGGCATAGTGGCCACATGATCGCAACTCTACTGGGTACTTTTAAAGACCATCAATACGCTTTTGTGGGTGTAGTAACAGTTATGCTAATGAAGGAGATAATTCCTGTGGAAACTGCTTTAGCAATGATGTTACTGATCGTATCGGCCACTGGTCGGCCGGTGGCAACATTTTGTGAATTTTTGCTCAAACAAATGGAGAAGTAATAGAATGAAAGGTTTCATTCTGGTTGTTGTCTCGGAAACATAATGATTTCACTTGTAAAACAAACTGATCCCAGCAGAATGATTGTTATGGCATAAAAGCGCGCGGAAGTTGGTAGCTTTATGAGTACTGTGAAGCCATCAATTCATTTTTTGTTTAACGGACTTCAAAGATAATAGGCAGTAAAAGCTGTTATAGACGAGGAGAAGTCATTAAGTTGATGGACATTGCAGTGAACAATTGAAAAACAGCATAATATAACCAGTTCGCCGACATGGTTTCGTTATCGTTCATGTGTGTTTCGTACAGAGAACATTATTGTCACGACACATTAGATAGAAGCCAAGCTGTAGAGGTGGCAAAAATCGTAAATTAGATGTGGATGTACGCATAGTTGATGAGGTTATTGCGTTGTGGTTAAAAGCGATAGTTGCGACAAGCGAAGGCAATACCGGTTTCTGGGAGGCTGCAGGGACAATTACGTGGGAGGTACACGGCGTGCATTTTACAGAGAGCAGATTGTGGTGTGGCGGCTCTGAATTCAACGGCTGAATTCTGGTCAATGTTCGACACAGCGTAGTGGTCGAAGTAGAATGAGATGAGATGAATGGAGGTATCGCGTAGCAATCTTGTGACGTTATGGACTGAAGGAAAGATTGCATATTAGTCGTTTTGTTCACTACATATCGATTTACCATGAAAGTCGACATGCGATGTAGAGCCGTGTGCTCCCTCCCCCTCAACAGACAACGAGGAGGCGGGTCCGTTTGGGAAGACAGCTGTGTCGTTACCGAGTTAGAAATTTCTGGCCGTTTCGTCACCTTTCGCTCGAACACTGTCTTTCTCATGCTACGTTATTTTTTTTTTCTATACTGTGATGAAAAGTGTGTTTAGCAGGTTCTCGTCACGAAAGACTTCAATCGGACGCCACGAAAATGAATCAACCTTGCACTTACTTTAATGTGTAAAATAGGAAGAAATGTGTGGTATTTGTGGGTTTTTCAATTGATTTATGAATTGCTGTTTGCAGGGTTATCTATCGGAAGTTGGTGCATCATTGGTTGACAAAAAACTTGGTCTTAATATCGTACCTACCACAGGATTGGTTGAATTAGCAGCACCTACGTTTTACTATGGTAGAGTTGACCGAGCAAAAGCCAGAGCTAAAGAACGCATCCAGTCCAGATATCCTGATCTGGGACGACGATTCCACAGAATAGGTCTTCCACCGAAGGTCAGTCTTGTTCTCTTCTGCTTTGTCGAGTTGAAATGGGTTCCGTAGTGTATAATATACCGTAGCGAAGCTTCAACATAATCTTTAATATTATAAATGTGCTGAAACCGTGCTAACTTCTCTAGCTTGATCACAATCGTCACGGTTGTCGTCATTTGTTCCACTCTTTGTTTTTGCATTGGAATGAGCTCTTTTACCGTAATTAATTATCCTGTTGAGTAAAGAACGTCGCTGGGTATAGTACTGTACTTATTCGAAATGTTATGGTTATGTGAAAATGAATAGCACGAGGTGCTAATTTTCGGGCTAACACGGAACGAAGTTGTCACTTTGACTCACTGACATCGTCTAAGATGTGAGTGAGGGATGAAAAGGCGGAATGGTTTTCTTGGGCCCTTTTTTATATATAGACACCGTCCATAGAGGTGTTTCCAACATTTTTAATTACCTTGGCATGGATATGGTTTGGGTAAAAGAGCTAGTTCTCAAGTTCCACTTAAAAAAAAACTCCCAGGAGCTTTTCTTTGTGGAATAATACTTGACTATCGCATTGATTACGTTAAGCATCTTCAAATCGCATGCGTGCTAACCTGATTTTGTTGCAGTAAGTAATAGCTTTGTCGTATTTAATAAACTTACAACAACAAAGTGTACCTCTGGGACATCTAGCGGCTTCGCGCATGGAGTTGGTGAAGACTTATTACGATGGAAAGCAAACCAGTAATCAGCCAGAGGGGCAATAAAATTTCTGGAGTGTCACTAGTATTGATCATATGTCAACTGATGAAACTTCACGTCATTTGATAAGATGTTGCATCGAAAGAGAAAGACAAATAAGCAACGAAAAATGTTATACTACCAGTCTGCTTAAGAAACAACATATGGAGATAAAAATTTTTAGAAAGGAAGTTTTCAACTGTTTGTTACTGGCTACCAAGATGCTGCACATTGGTTTCGCATTTGGGAAACATATCCGGAACAAGCACCGCCGCCAGTCACTCAAAGAGAGTTTCAAATCCTCTTCGAAAAAATTGTCGTTCTCGACTATGTCATCAGAAATACTGGTTAGTGATCTACGGGAGAAGTTAACTGTAGTCACACCATAGAAGAAGGTGTGAAGTTTTCAGATCGTGGCAATGACAATTGGCTAATTAAGTATGAACAAGCAGATTTGGCTGAAACACCAGTTGGCGCAAACGAATCAAAAGCAGCAGAAATGGAAGCGCAGGTTATTCGTTCGTAGAAGTTTAATAGTAGTGTAATTTTAAATAACGAATAAACTCGAGAATAACCTGTAATGATTGGAGAAAAAAGTAGTTATGTTTTGAAAAAAAGAGCGTAGTTTTCAGCCACCTGATGAAGGCCAACTGATCGATTTGGCCGAAGGAAACACGCAAACTTGCGGACCAGAAGGTGGGGTTTCTTCGGTACATTGTTGATCCATCATTTTCGTAGTAGTTGTCTTCGAATGAGCTGCTTCTGAATAAAGTGGCCACTCGTCGATTTTTTCGTCACGTTGCGCGAACATGGAGAAGACCACTGGATGACAATCGTGCTGTCGCGTTTATGTTTCGTTTCGTTCGAAATCAGTGCAGGACAAAAAGTGTCTAACTGTCGAGAACATTACTAACGTGCACGTTTTATCTCTCTCACTCATGTTATGCAATGAATAATCTAATGCATTATCGAATAGTAAACACCATGTTGCCACCAGCACCACCGTGACCACTTTGCAGTGCTAACATATCGTTCCGTGTTTTATGATACCAGTGTAGAGTTAATTATTTCTAATTCCAAATATCAACTGAAAGTTACTCATCGACTAACTTTTACCTTTTAGAACGCCAGCCGCGTATTGCATTAAAATATGCGGTGGCATCGAAGTCCCATTTTCCTGTTAATACTGGCGATAAAAATCTTGAATGGTTTCTTAAATCATCATAACGATGTTCAGAACAAGCACGGGAGAAGCAAACAAGAACTGTACATGAACCAGCACCTGCTGAAGTTGAATGGGCCGATGTTACTGTGCCGAAAATAGCTATTGCAGCTATCGATAATGGATTAGCGTTTCCATTCAAGCATCCAGATGAATGGCGAACTTGTGAGTTCCTTCACGCTTCATGTTTATCGAATCGCTCTATGTTTTATGGTGATATTTTTTGGTGTGAAATATAGTTGAGTTTATTTAGACCTCTGTTATCAGCCAAACACTATTGTTGAGGCAATTTTTTTCTATGTTATATCACGATGGTTTTTCTGTTTATTTCAACCTGAAAATTAGGTGGCTAACCGTTTTCACACTCTAGTTAAAGTGTACAGTGGTTATCATTAGGAGATACAGTTAATGCCAATGCCAATTCGTCAAATTGAAAATATCACTGAGGGGAGTTTATAACGTGCTATGAAGAAGACAGGAACATTATCACCGATAAGAATGGCTAGGTTTTGCGGCAAAGAGTGATTAATTGCTTAAAAATCGGTATCGTTCGGTAGAGCGATTAGATTGGTTGGAAAGTCTCATGACACTATAAGCAGTTTTTTAATTTGAAATGTTGTGCGGTTTCTGAGAATCATAGTCACAGAGAACAAAGCTTCCTCAGATTGATAACAGTCTTCACTTGTCTGAAGTGAAGACCTCCGTACGACCAACCATGTTTGTCTTGAGAATTTGTTCACGCTGGATCAGCATCTAACATGTCAATGGCATAGAGTAAACTGATCCTCGAACCGTTGCCAAAATTAACGATGCGCGAATCTGACCACTTTGTAGATGACAGTTATAAAGCAATGAAACGTGTGGAGAGAGTTCTTGGTGGATTCTGACGATATGTGATTATGGGTAATCTAAGTATCTAAGAAAAGAGTGCTATTTTTATTACTGTAAGGACTCGACATACAATATATTCATTATCTCTTTCACAATGCCTAACGCGATAGAAATTTTTCATTGGTTTTAATCGAAAACATTTTTTTTCGTATAAGAGGATTTTGCGCTGAGTCATAAAAAATAGTTTCGAATGTTGTCGTGTGGGCAGCGAACTTCCTCGCGTTCGTTATGTTATTGTTGTTCAGCATCGGCTAGGAAATTGAGCGAATTGTGGCAGGCAACTGCAGTCATTGTTCTGTTGATCTGAGGAAGTTTGTAACAATTCATTCTTTCTTCCAGTAACTTAACGAACATTTCCTCATGTACGTCAGCTCTCTAAGTAGTACACACTGATGTTTAGTGTGTATCATTCATATGCAGAGCTCAACCTTCATCTCTACCTACATGGGCCAAAAACTGCCCACTTCGTAGAGGGAGCAGGGTATTTTTTTGGGTCACTGAGAAGCTATGGTTTTTGGAAATCGGGCGAAATTTGTCAGTTCCGAAAATTAGGTGCTAATTGGTAAGTTATTATCCATCGGCTAAAGTCAAGGATTGCTGAAAGTTTCAGTGAGAGATCGCACGTGGTTCAGTTTGAGAAGGTTGTGGATTGCATCGTCGTTGAAAGTCAGTTCGTTTTTAGATTCACTGTGCAACATCTAATAAAGTATCTCCGAACTGAATGCGAATGCGTTTGCATTGTTGGAATGACAAATCAATTGAATGACAGCGTACAGAAATTTGTATGAATAAAACAGCGAATGAATAACAAGCGTCACTTCTAGTTAATGTAAACGTGTGGATCCCACCTTTTTTACTTCACCCAAGGACATTTCTAGAAGATGTTCGCTTATCCCAATAAATAAATTAGCTCTTAGTAATTATTGCAATTTAGATACCATAAATCCGAACCTTGGACGTTTTGCATAACTGTGTAACCAACTTAATTTCTTTTAAATAAAAAGTGGAAAAGGGAGCGATATTTGTTTGTTATCATGTGGATAGGGCGCGTATCGCGCAGTGGTCGGAGGCGCCCTGCAATACACACGTAGAATCGATCCCGGCGCCCATGGCCCACCAAGCCTTCCATTCCTACGGGGTCGGCAAATTGGTATCAGACTTGTCTGGGAGGATAGCAACATTAACTCGACAGGTCATTAAATCATCGCGAGTTAATGTAAGGGCCAGATATGCACTCAATCACCTGCAACGATACTCAATGAAGTCGAATGCGTGGCACATCCTCTGAGGTATTGATAAACAACGGGAGCCTTATCCTTTTATTATTTTGTCATGTGGATGTTTCAAACTGAACACGAGCGGTGGTGCTTTCTATGGACTTATGCGATAGGGAATATTGAGAGAATCAGTGGACAGCTCGTAAATTATACGTTTTTTCGCAAACCTCTTTTCTGTTTATCAAATTAAACGGTTTTTGTTGTAAATGGACGGAAACCGACTGACTCGAGCACAATTCTGACTGAAGAGTGCAGATAAATCGGCAGAAAACACGAACAATTTCTGTGTATGTCGATGCTAAATGGCGGCTAATGAGAAACAGTAATAATGTTTTGTCTCTGGTTCTCGTTCTACTGAAAATAATATCGATTCCCTACTGTTTTCAACACCTCTAAGGGCACAGCTGTAAATGCGTGTGCTGTTTCATTTTAATACGGTAATATGATATGCCGCTGTTGTTGAGCAAAAATCGAGTTCAACGCAGTCAACGTTCTGTGATTATACTCTTTGGAAAACTCATAGGAGATTATATGATTATTATATTAATAGACTGAAAAACTTCTATGCCTTTTTACAAGGTTTCGTTGCTTCAACCAAATTTTATGCTTGGCTTTATTCTACTTTTTTTCTTGCTTTCTAGAAAAATGCGTTCCAAAGTTAGACTAGGCGCTGTTGAATGATGATTCAGCGTTGAGAAAACAACACTGGTATAAGTTAGTGAGTCACTCGTTCGGCCAGTAAGACATGGTATCCTGAAACCGTTTTCAAACAACTTTCTGTACGCACTAGAACAACCTTTTAGGACTGGATAGTTGTTTGAAAATAAAGCGACTACAATGTTTTGCCATAGTATTGGAACTATCCTGCTAACTGGTAATCTTCTTCATGAAATCTATACCGAAACAATAAGAACAGTCATTTTCGTTGTTGTCTGAAGCGGTGTAGTGATTCGTAAATTTCATCATAAAATCGGCCCCATTAAGTGTTGGCTGAAGTGACTGAGTGCATATTTTGCCTATGCAATGGTTTACGATGGTCTGCCGATGTGTTTTTATACTCCCAGAAAAAGCGAGAATAAATTTGCCTACCTCGGAGCAATGGGAGACTTAGTTAAGCTGGAACGGGTGTTCGAAACAACGACTTCGTGCGTATTTTATGACATCTCTGACTACTGTGGTATACACGCTTTTTTTTTATTCTATACATTTAAACATTAAAATTTTTCGGTATAGTAAGTGTAGATGCATGGATAGAAATTCATTGTTGTTCTAAATGTGAACAAGTGGAAGAGATAAAAGTGTGACTGTTGCATTTGAACACTTGAGGCACTCCATTGTTAAGCCATTAGATTAGAGCACAGAAGTTTGGTGTATCTTTGTAGAGAATTGTTTTAGGAAATTGTCAAGCTGGCAATCTTATGAAGGACCGTGGGAATTGTAGGAAGAGTACTATCGAATCGAAATGGACGATCGAAAGATATTAGCCATCATGCTGTATGAGCACCTGCTCAGCTCTAGCGTGCAAACGGCGGTTAGAAACGCAGCGCATGTGCCACTTGTTGCTACTGATTGGAGAATGTTGTTAGTTGGAAAGCTTCCTTTAGAGCCATCCGAGCTGTTTAGTTTTTTTCGGAGGTTCAGTCACGCTTGAAGACGATGTGAGGCGAGCTTGGCAACTGACTGGAGGAGGCCGGCTAAATTTTGCCAGCCTGCACTAAGAGTTGGTCTACTGCAACAACCTCAAAATACTCTCACCAAGTTCTGCTAGTCCAACCCTCCGTTTTTGTGAGCACAATGGTGCATCCTAAAACTCATCTAAAAGCGGCGTACTGTTTTTCATAATGGTCATTGACAAGAGTTGTGTTCTGAATAAAAATCGAAAATAGATTGAGATGAAAATTGCTAAAAACTTACACTTCAAATTAATAAGAAGACTACTTACTAAGATGGAGAACGCGGGTTTCGAAGTTTTCCTAAGAGTGGGTGAGGAAGAATATTCATGATTAAGAGGGAGCATGGTGTGGATAAAAGCTATGTATTCAACGACTTACATACTATACACAGGTGTCCTGTGTCTGTTCCGTTTACAAACGTGTTTTAGTCATGAAGGAGGTGGAACACGAATATTTGCTGTACGTAATTTTTCTTCTACGTTTTTAACCCAAACCGTTATGTTATGCAGATCCTTTTGGTTGGTCACAGTTGCCGATGGCTCAAAAACCGTTCAGTGAAGAGACGATAAACGCCATCCTACCGCTTCTTGACGACACTAATTTCGTCCAGCAATTAGGCGAGGAATTGAAGCAGGTTTTTAAAGTACGCGATGTTGCTTATTGGTTTTTTATTGCGCAAGTTAATTTATTAAAAATAAATGCACTGGCGATGCACGTAATGTGAATAATTAGGAACAGAAGTCTACGATTCTTTTTCCAAACAATGTCTTACCCCATTCCTACTAACCGTTTTCAGAACGATAAAGGTTTTGATAAGAAAATCTTTGAGAGACAATTATCGGTAATGCGTGGACAAATCTTCAACTTGAAGGAAGCACTAAGAACCAGAAAGTCTCCATATCAATTGATTCTTGTGAGTGTCTTTTTGATATACATTTTTATCTGAACCGTGAACATGAACCAGATGGATAGGATCAGTTTTCTATACCAGATCTCCGACTAAGCATCTTTGGAAAGTTTTATTAACAGTAAACAACGTCTAGAAAATGTGATTCGTTATCACTTTCAGATGCCCGCTCAGTATATGGTGGAAGTAAAACCAAAAAAGCGGAAGCAGCGTTTTCGCTCGGACATTGATGATCGAACAGATTGTGAATGTAGGATTTTAAAGTATTTTTCAACTTAATACACTTATATATTGGTCGCATGGGGCCATGGAACAGTTTAGGATTTGGACTGTAAACACACTACGCTTTATTCTAAAAGCTGACTTTCTTTTAAACTCGGCGTGACTAATCAATGTGTTCTTTCATTGATAGTCAATTTTTTATCAATCTCGTGTTAACTTATCAAAAAATAATACATTCCACTCTCTTAATTCAATTAAAATCCATTTTTCAAATAGTATACATTTCTTACTTCCATTACGATGAAGCGATCAGCTTCCCACAATCTTTTTTTCACTTCTTGTCGTAGAGGCTGTACACATATATATATATATATACATATGTATATGCATACATATGTATATATATATACATATATATACATACGTATATATATATATGCATGTATATGTACATGCATATATATGTATATATATATATATATATATATATATATGCATGTATATGTACATGCATATATATGTATATATATATATATATATATATATATATATATATATATATATATATATATATATATATAGCAAAGCGATCAAATGAGCGAGTTTCGTGCTACAGAATACAGTGGTGTCCTCAAATGTGTGGTGGATATTGGGAACTGCTTCGTTGAAAATATTTAATTCTGTTTTTCTTACATTTATAGAATTTGGTGCTAAGGTTTTGGAAATCTCGCTTATACATCAAGTCAGAGGCGCATGTGGCTGAGTGGTTGGAGGCGCCACTGCGACACACACGTGGAATCGACCTCCACGCCCATGGCCCACCAAGCCTTCCATCCCTTCGGTGTCGGCAAATTGGTACCGACTTGTCTGGGAGGATAGCAGCACTGGCTCGATACATCGGTATGCCACCGCGAATCATTGCAAAGGCCAGATATGCATTCAATCACCTCCAACGACGCTTAATGAATTCGAGTGCATGGCGCATCCCTCATGATTGATGAACGCCGTGAGCTTTATCCTTTATTCTTTATATTTCAACTTATTGACAAGTTGCTGAAAGAGTGGCATAGAACCTACAACTGTGAAATTCTGTTCATTACAGTAAATAATTGCTACACATCTCTTCTGTCAACAGAAACGTCATGCACGGCTTTCCACAATTTGAAGAAAATGTTCTATGAAATACTAGTTAATTTATTGGCTTGGAACTCTGAATACCCCGTTAGACTCATCAAACAGTAACGAGATTCTGTGCCATGTTTTCTACAGAGATTACTTACTTGCTTGGATACTTGGACGTTCCATCTTCACGAGTTGTGGGGACCGCAGCACATTTTGCTTGGTCTTTCTTGAAAAAATGTCAATGTCATCAGCGAAACGAAGACTTAATAGAAATTTTCCATCAATCCGTATGTCCTTCTCGTCCCAATCGAGTGACTTCATTATCCACTGCAGTTAGGCAGCAAACATCTTTGGAGATATTGTGTCGCCTTCTCGAACCCCTTTTCCTATGGGTCGACCAAAAAGCTGTATTTTCGTAGTGTATTTCCGATAACAGACAGAATTCCTATGTAGAATAGGTCCACATCTTGGTCGACGAACGCTGACAAAACTGCATTCTTTTCGGCACGACACGGACACTGTCAAACGCTTTTCAGAGTAGACAAACTCAGGACTAGAGGCAGGTAATATTTCTAACAAACTTCAGTGATTTCTTTCCACTATTCTGTTTGTGCGTAAGTCCCACCGGGTTTTTTTTTGCAAAATGGTTCCTTTTGGGTGCTTCGAATAGTTTCTTCTGCCTGTACCAATGTAGATCTTCCTGAAGAGCTAATCTGCAACTGGCATTCATTACAAGCCGTGTTAAATGTGTTGCAGTAGGACTGTTTCAGTTTTCTTCTATTCTCTAACAAATCCGCAGTGGTAACGGAGATGCGATCTAATCTTCTTGCTTGATTAACTGAGGGTAAGTCGGCACAACATCAAAGTCCTTCAACAAGCAGCTCGTAGTTTTTGGTCGGATCTTCTCTAATCTGTCAATCACGTTTGGATGGGAATTTGTTCAAAATGTCCTCATCATGAACGGCTAGACGTTTTCTCCGTTATCGAAGACATGAATTCTTTTCCAACTTACAGCTGAATCGAATCTTCGCGCGAAGAAAGCGGTGGTCGGAACCAGTACAGAGTGATGCGGCTGTTACTATGTCAAATAGGCAGGTCTTTTTGTCAGAATATGGTCTATCTCCGCATGAGTCGCACCGTTAGGAGACTCTCATGTCCATTGGGTGCTTTATTTCCTCTGGAAAAACGAGTTTCAATGAAAGAAACGTGTTACAGACTGAAGTCCTGCGAGACGGTTTCAATTTTCATTTATCACTCCTAATCCAAATCCACCTATCCAGTATTCGCCCTCCTTGGCCTTTTCCTACTTTGGCGTTGAAGTCTCCGATGGCAAATTTATAACACGCTTTATCATTGTGGATAATATCCTCCAACGGATAGTGGAACGTATCTAATTCGGACTCATCAGCTGCATTGGTCAGTGAGTAGCAATTGTTGATAATGTTCTACTTACGACGTGTTGGTTGAAGACATAGGACGGACATGCGATATACAGAGATATACATCTGCAATTCTAAAGGTATTCGATACTGTTAATTTGGTTGTTGATTTTAACATCCGTATGTGTCACAAGTCATGTTCACCATTGCTTCTGAGCTTAGAAACAGTACCTTAGTAGAAGTGTTCACTTCTGGTTGATTCTTACAATGCATATAAAAATTGCTACTATGCAGTGGAATATGTGAGTGCACCAGCGACGTTTTTGTGCATCGGTTCAATTCATGTTATGCAGATTTCCGAATGTGTATAGGCATTGGTTGTGTGGTGGTTTTCATTCAATGCACAAGCTGAATACACACTGGACCCAATGCCAGTACGAACCAAATTTGTTTATTCTTATGTACACAATGTTTTGAATATGCCTGTTCAATGTTTGATACATACTCTTTCATTGAGTAGAAGGAAAGATTAGTTGACTATCAAAATACTTTTTTTCTGCTGGCAAAGAAGGGTTTTCATTCTTATACTTGCATACAGGGAGCGTAGTATTGGTTAATTAAACTTAGGCAACGTTAATATTAAAAATGATTTTATTGGAGTGTAAAGAAGAATGTCCCGTTTTCGTGGAAATAGTTGTTGCGTTTCATAAGCATTTCGTTAAGTGGAATACTAGGATATCTATGAATGCATCGATAATGTTTGGTATTTCTGGCCTTATGTTGAGAATTTCAAGAATTTTAATTAATTTTTAAGTTACCTGGTTCTAACTTTTGGAATCAGAAGGGGACAAGGGGCGCATGTGGAGCAGTGGTTGAAGGCGCCTTGCAACACATGTGGAATCGATCCCCGCGCTTATGGCCCACCACACCGTCCATCTTCCTGGAGTCGGCAAATTAGTACCAGACTTTTCTGGGAGGGTAGCAGCACTGGCTCGATACATCGGTGGGCCACCGAGAGTCATTGTAAAGGCTAGATATGTATTCAATTACCTCCAAACGATGCTTAGTGAAGTCGAATGCATCGCGCATCCCTCAGGGATTGATCAACGCTGAGAGCTTTATCCTTTATTTCTTTATGGATGGGTTGTGGAATCATATATTTTCAGTAATATAGGTTGTTAAGTTTTAAACTCGTCAAGTGTTCAAGAAAGAGTGTTAAATCTGCAAAAGATTAACGGAAGTTGTCGAAAAACAGGAATTCTTGTTTTACTGATCATATTAAGTTTAGTAATTGAATTGCAGCTGATACGACGCTGTTGAATGCTCCATCACTGTCAAGGCAGGAGCAACATCGATCATCCGTGGAACGATCGTGGCACGATTCCTATCAGCAAAAAGTTCAGACAAGAAGTCCATTCTTCAGATGGTGGTAGTAATTGCCACAGGCATTATTCCTGACTACTAACTTGTCATTAAGTCCTCACTTTTAAAGCACATATCGTATGATTTTCAAACTTAAACGGCACTAACATATTGTTGTATTCTGTTTCATTATTTTATTACTTGTACTTGGAAATATTAATCATAAGTGTACAATACCGCTCAACAACGCTGTTTTGAATCACTTTATATCTATGGTTAATATCTCTTTTGTTTGATGTGATCCAGACTGTTGCTCTAGCATTTTACCACTTTCACTGTTGTGTGAAGTTCCCTTCTGTTTAGTTTTATTTGACACAAGAATAGCTCTCAACTAAGCAGGAATGGTTTCGTGAATGCTGCTTCAGTTCAAGCACTTTCGTGCTCTTCCTCACATAATTCTTCCGTCGTTTCCATGAACTGTCGTCTTGTGTAAACTGCTTAACATTCTCGGTGAAATTTCAATTCATTAAATGTTTATGTGTAAGCTTGTGTGTTGGTAAGCCTTGCAAGGTATATAATCCAGTGACAATTCGCTTTGCTTTCTTGCAAAATCTTGCACTGTGATTTTGTTACACTACGATTTTAATTGTTTATTCAGTAGCTTCTTTGGAGTTCGTATTTTCACGACAAGTTTCACAGTAGTTTCTTTGGAATTTTCATTTCTACAACCTTGCACTAATCCTTTACCCCCTAATACATTTTGACGTTCAGTTAATACATTGATGACATGGATTTCCACTATCATTACTAACTTTTTTTTTACACTACATGGAACAGAAGTATGTGCGACTTCAAAGTAAATCGTTATGTTCAAATCGTTATGAGAGTAATATGTTCAAGAATGACCCAAGTGTGATTGGTGAGGTCACTCTTCTCTAAAATTAAGTGAATGTAGAGCAACGGTTATGTGTTCATGGTAAACTACAATAGGTCGATATGTTTGATGCAGTGGATCCCAAAACTGTACGTATCGTAGTCAAGTTCGCGATGCACAGAATTGAATTCGGATTACTTTTTCGGCTCCTGTGAAATTCAATCATGTATTGTACTACAATTCTTTAGATTTAGTTTACTGCGTATGTAAATTGTAGCTCTGATTTTCCCTCCCGAACTTCCGTTCCTCACTGCGAAAAT